AAATCTCTTACGGGAACCGTACATTTTTCAGGAATAAAAAGTATCCTATTTGTTATTCTAATGTATTAACTATATTATTGTAAAATTTCATTAAAATTCCATCAGTAGTTTTTGTGTACTAAGCTGTAAAAGTTAGTATAGTTTTTTAACTATCCCATGGTAACTCTTTAGTTTTCCGGGATGAAACGTATCTAATATGTTGAACGGGGATATAAGGTACTACCATGCAAAAATTCATTTAAATCGGTTCAACAGTTTCGAAGATTAGCCCGTACAAACAGAAAAACAGACAGACAGAGAAACAAAAAAAAAAAAGATCTATATTTATTCTGTTTCTCTTCTTACGTCCCCTGACTCGGTTTTTAGCAAATTTTTTTCTATGACAGACATTCGACCTATACAGTTTTATTATATGTATAGATTTTTTCAGAATATCTATCCCTATTAACTTCTCAATGGTCGCGTGATTTTTTCTTCAATATTTTTGCAATATTTTACAACATTAATATAGTAATAGTAACATTTTAAATTATTTCATTTCATATATTGGACTATGATTAATAAATTAATTAGGATTTTACTTACAATGTGGAATTCTGCTTAATATATGCTTTAACTTCTTCTTTAGTCAACTCCTTACCAGAATACGACTCATAATATACAGTTTCTGTTAAAACACCCGTTGCAAAACTTAATAAAAATATGCACAGCATTCTTAATAATTAAACACTTGTTATGATTTGTGCTACAGGTGGAGATCCATACGAGACTAATATAAAAACCGTATCAACAATGAAAATAAAGGCGGTTTTTGACTTTACTCACGCTTCAACCCCTCCAAGGCAAAAAAAATATCGTATTTTTTAATAAAATATTTTTTTTATATTATGTATATTAATTACATAAATATTAAAAGCGCCGGCCCGTAAGAAATAATATATGATACTCGTTAATTAAGATATTTAATCGAATAGTCGTTTAACTTTAAAAGTCACTCGTATTTGGTCGCACTATTCGTTGTAATGGTTTGCTTTGTATGAAACCACAAACCGGCTTACTATCATCATAATTTAATACCAACTTCGCACGATATAAACGCTACAAGTATTGCTTCGGAGAGCAAAAAGTTCAAAATGTTACATATTTTGTATTTTTATTATTTTGTCTGTTATATCTACTGATGTAGAGTTTTATACTGTATGTACATAATATTATTATTTTATACAGAAATTCAACATGCTGATATTGTTTTTTTTTTAAATATGTTGGGACATTAACACACAGCACCATCTAGTTCCATGATAAGCTGCGAGGCTTGTGTTATGGATACCAGATAGTTGATACACTACACATATATAACTTTAAATACATACATATTATTAATATAAGTAAACACTCATGACTGGAGTACAAACATTCGTGCTCATCACACAAATGAATGCCCCAGCGGGACTCGAACCCGCGACCGCTGGCACCGCAAGTAGGGTCACTACACACAGAGCCAAACGTATCGTCAGATTTTTTGATTTGTTAGATTGTAACTTGTAAGTTGCGTTTATTCGTGGATGACATTTATATCATAGTAACTTACGAACGTATTATTGTGCAAGGTTCTATAATAACCTAAGTTAAATAAAATTTAAAAAGATTTAGAGATAATAATTGCATAAATAAAGTACCGAAATTCAATTACTATAGAATTTTATGGTTCTTAAACGGTTTTATTTAACTTTGCTCTGTTTGTTTAGGTCAAATATAGTAATTTTAAAAATTTACTCCTTTCCTGTTCATAGATTGACTTGATATTTGGTATGGATCTTTAGTTCTGATGACTATTCTATTTAGTTCTGAATATATTCAGTATCATTGTAACTCTCAAATGGCGGCCGCCACAAAATGGCGGATTACATATTTTTTTACAACCCTCCTCAATATGGGTATCAAATAAAAACTTTCTAACAAAAAATAAAAACCAACTTCCAGGCACTAAAATGTAAAAAATAACTTTTGGAAGTTGGATAATAGTAGGATTTGACTAGTAGAATACAGTAAGCTATGAAAAAAAAAACAAATCCAAAATAGCCGCCAACAAAATGGCCTATTACATATTTTTAACTGACTTCAAAAAAAGGAGGTTATCAATTCGACACGTAAATATGTATAAATATTATTGGAACCGCAAAATATTCACATATGATATATAATCTTTTAGGGCTTCTAAATAAAAATACAAAATTTTATACGTACTATATGTATATTAAATGTCATCATAATATATTAAATGTTAAATATTACTATCGATATGAGCGCCATTGAGCTTGTATCAAATTTACTTTTTTTCAGCAATTCTGATAGACGGTTAAGGGCAATAAGTTACTCTAAGAGGCTTAAAAAGTCACCTTGAAAAATCCCACATTGAATACGAATCGGTTCAGTAGATACTTTTTCAGACAAATGGTTATTTTTTTCAAAAGTATGCCAATTTTAAGGCACGGACCTCCCTTCAATGCAAAGGGGATCAGGCCATAGTCCACCACGCTGGCCAAGTGCGGGTTGGCAGACTTCACACGTCTTTCGAAAACTTGCTAGGTTTACTCAGACATGCAGGTTTCCTCAAGATGTTTTCCTTCACCGTTTTTTATATATATGAAGTCCAAAGTCCAAGTTTCTTGTACCAAAAGAAACAAACAAACAAACATCCATACATCTAAATATCCATACATCCTCACAAATTTTCGCATTTATAATATAAGTAGGATTAGTAGATTCAGAATGTTCTGTAGTAATTTATTCTAATAGTATTTTATAGAGGGGTTTGTATTTGATTATTTATTTCAATTTGCTAATTCTATGTATCAGTCTGGTATTTTTTTGCATATACTCGTACATAAACTCTACTTATCGTAGAAGGCTATCTGACGTCGTGTTATGCACCGTAGCATGACACACGTGGGCCCATGTGTAATGGCAAAAATATAAGACAATAATATGAATTTCTTTCATTCATTTTTTATTATTTAGTCCTTTTTTAAGTTCCATCAATATGAAGGGAATCAGATGATGCTGGCCGAGTGAAGGTTGGCGGCCTTCAGATGTCTTTCCAAAACTTGCTAGGTTCTTACCCGTATGTTTATACGGGTTTCCTCGCGATGTTTTCCTTCGTCATGAGGCAAGTATCATATTGAAAATGATTGGCAATTAAAAAAAATATTAAAAATGCAATGGGAGTTCTAAGAAAGCTACACTGGGCTGCTACTACTGTATGTATTGTTCTTTAATTATTATATATAAGTACTTTATTATATTTTTATCTGGTACCTTTTTGTCCCTTTTGTGGGCCGATTTCCTTTTTTTTTTGGTTAGGAGCTATATAGATAAACTCTATTCTTATACTCGTATGCTTTCCTCAAATTTTCATTAATGATTATGGTTGAGCTTCAACATTTAAAACATAACAAGGGATAAAACGTAATACAAAAAGTAACATGCTGTCTAAAAACAATGATATCTACGAGTATCTAACTCTGTTATTGTTATTTATTAATATATTTAGTACATAATTTAATTATATTTATTAAACAATAAAACGCATATACAATCTTTTATTGACCTCGAATGCTGTATATTTGCAAAAACTAAGTACGTATTTACTATTTAATTGGTTACAGTATAGCAGAACCAGCCAAGTGTAAAAAATAACAATAATATTATTTTAACTCTACTGATTGTAGTTTATAAGAATATGAAGATATAAAATAGAAAAAAATCTACTTAATAGTTTTTGGTAAAAGTATCATGGGTGATACTCAATATTCAATAGCGCACTCGCTAGGATGACTAAGTGAAGTGAGTTCAAATCTATTCTTCGGTGAAGCAAAATATCCGTCGAAACCTGACGTCATTGAGCACGTAATCAGTTTTCGAAAGACATGTGAAGTCCGCCAACCAGCACTTGGCCCGCGTGGTGGTCTTTAGCCCGATCCATCTCTTATAGGAGGCCCACTCCCAGCTGTAGGGCATTATAAAGGACTAATAACGAACAGTATTGTTACATTCACCGGTGGTAGGACTCTGTCAAGCCAGAGGAGTCCGACTGGATGGGTACCACCCCCTTATCTATTTTTCCCGCCAAGCAACAATGATCACATTGTTGTATTCCGGTTTCAAGGATAAGGTAACCAGCGCAATCACAGGCAAGAGGCGTATCGTCTTAGTCCTCACAGTGACAACGCACCTGCGGTTCTGCATTTTTGTCACATAAATGGGCGACAGGTACCGCTTTCCATCAGGTGGACTGTATGCTCGTTTGTCACTGAATAGCATAAAAACAAAACATGTCCTAACATCCTTTTCGTCATGCAATATTAACAGAAGAATCATCTGACTTTCTCAACTGAAATTGATTTAGATTTAAAAACAACAAAAAACTAGACTAGACACTAGAAATAAAAAAATACTACACGATTTAGATTTACTATATATACCTAATCTAAAGTAGCAAAATCGGTTAAGCCGTCTATAATATACATCTATACATATAATAAAATTATAACTAAGTCGAATCTGTACATTAAATATTTTTTGGAAAATCTTATTGAAATAGACATAATTATCGATACAGAGTCCGAATCTATAGTTTTTAGAATGTTTGTTTGTCTGTCTGTTACCGCATCACGAGAAAACCACTGGACAGATTTTGATAAAATTTAGTATGATGATAGCTGGTTATCCGGGTCAACATATAGAATACTTTTTACCGCGGGAAAATATCTCATTTCTGAGAAAAAATACAAAAACTGCATTGTAAGAGTATAACTAATATCTAAAACCTAAGAATTTGGCTTTTGGTCATTTGAACGCGGGCGGAGCCGCGGGCAATGCTAGTATGTATATAAAATACACATACTTAGAACGTCCTCTTTTTGACGGTAAAAAAAAATATTTGTTCGTAAATAAAAGACATTCCTTAAGGAAAAATATTATATAATTTAGAAAAATTATAAATTATAGATATTATTTGCGAATGGATTGTTACAAGCCTGGTCTCTCCACGCGCATAAATTCATTTTTTGGATATTCTCGCAGCTTATCATTTCATTACTGAAACAAAAAAAATCATTTAACATTTAAAAGAAAACATATTGTGATGTTTGATTTAACTTTCATATATTTCTTGGGTAATATTAAAAAAATAAAATATATATAAAATTGTTGATTATGCATTGTAAGAATCACATACGCGTACATGTTGTTTTAATTCTCATTATATATTTTTTTAATATTTTTTTTTATATATAAAGTATCTGATCTCAAAAACCGATTAAATGTTTTTTCTATTAAAGTAGTAAATATAAATTCTAAATAATATATTTTTTTCTCAATATTAATTTGTCGCGAAACGAAAAAAGCGAGGGAGGGTCGCTATTTCGTAATATTTTGCTTCCCGAAACGATGTTCAAATAAAAATGTCTGTCTCATGCTCTGATTTATATTTTTAAAATTAGTTTTTTAATGTACTTGAAATTCTTACCCTAGTCCAGGCATATTGAAGGCATGTGGTTGTATGGCAGTCACTTTATCGCCCACAGCGCACATGATCTGCGCAATAGACGCCTTTCTTACTTCTAAGAGTTGTTCTGAAAAATATGAATATTAGTTATTTCGAGAATATTACTACAATTAATACGTTACAATTCATAATTTAACGTTCTACTGTATAGCGCAAGCTTCTTTACCCTCAATATAGGGAGTAAATATTAGATCTCCATACTGGTCTAATACAGGTTGGTGGAATATTTAGGTCCTCTCGAAAATTCCAGAAATACGGGCGTCAGAGGTTGAGACCATTTTAAACCATTTCGAAAATTTATGTTTCAAAAATATAAAGTAAATGCAAATAAGTTACCTAAAGTAAAACCGTTGGGTCTGTTAGGCCGTTCGTACCAATGTCTGTCTGACGCTACCGATCTACGCATTTGGTCTGCGACGATACAAAAGAATGTGACTGGCACGTGTCCACCTTGAATTGGTCTCTCTAACCATATGCCCGCCATCAAGTCAATATCTTCCACATGCTTGTATTTTTCTTTAAGTAATTCTATTCTCTGTAGAACAAGAATTAAAATAAAATAAAAAAAATAAATAAATCATAGTATGATCAACGTATACTTGTTCACTGGGTAATTAATATTTGCCATTTATCCTATGGAAAATTTTGAATTTATTTTATTAAAAATATTTATGTATATGTAAAATGTATATATCTGTACCTCAAATTTTATTTCTAACAAGCATCTATAGGTATTTGGGCATTTTTTCTGTTCATACAACAACTTTGTTAGTAAAAAATTACATAAAACTAAAATTTAAAAAGATATTTAGGTATTTTACTACGTAATATCATATTGTAGTGAAATTATATACATACATATTTACATAATAAATAAGGCAATAATAATATTCGTTGTTAAATGTTTTTTTCTGTTAAGTGTTGTGAATAAGTTGATCCTATTTTAAATTAAATATAGTTAAAATAGTATTCACTCGATTATTTATTATTAACCTAATATAAAAATATTAAAAAAAGACATAAAAAAGTATAATTTATCGAAGTTCACTAAATCTACTTTATAACTAAGATAATAAGGCTCATGAATTATCCATTCAATGTATACTGTATGTATCAATCTCAAAATTCAAGGTAAAGGACAAATTCATTACTCATATCTTTTAGTCATTCTAAATGAACAGAAAAATTATTTCAGAATGTTAATGTTGAATTATATATTATATTTATTTGTTTTTTTTTTATGTATCAAAATATAGTGTTTGTTAATTATGCATTAAAAATATAAAATGCTGTAATTTACTTAAAATGTTTTATGACTATAAAAAGTTACTTTGAAGTATTATTGTATACTTTTTTATCAATTTTTGTTTGGTTCATGTAACTTTTGTCCTTGTTGTGGTGAGAGGTTTATAGCATCCGGCAATCCAGCCGGGCGTGAAGCAAGAGGCAAGAGATACACTGAGAGGTAGCCCACTTCGATGGGCGATGGCTGCTCCTGGCATTTCTCTGACAGCAGGGTGGACCAAGGGGTGCAACCCCTTGGTTATGTGGTCTGTTTCGGCAAACCTGCCATCGGGGCGTCGTGGTTGATTGCGTAAGCGATCCTGCGACGCCCCATTAAGACGGGAGAGGTTATGTTGGGTTTAAGTGAGAAGTACTACTGGCTTTCTTTAAGCTAGTGAGTCTCACATAACCACCTGTATATATACAGGTGGTATCCCAACATGAAAAAGATAAAATATCTCATGAACCTTTAAACCACCCTTCCATAGTCTCTAATAATGTCTTTATGATGTAGAATGGAAACCTAAACTTGTTAGATTTTCTAGAAGCCATTTAAGAATTCAGTTGTATCATTTGACTTCTTCTACTTCAAATTCATCTTGTAACTCTTGTCATTTTATACATTTTATAACACAATAAAACCAAACAAAACACAAAATAAAACCAAATTTACATAAGTGTAAACTAGAATGGTGCTTAGTTACTTAGTCATCATCTTTATATTTCTAAGAAGTTGATGTCCTTATATTTTTTAGTAAAGCATGATCATAATAAAAATATAAATAAACATTGTATCGTATTCAGCCCTTATCACGTCACACTGTTGGGCACTAACTTCAATACGATTGACATCATGCCAAAGCCCACCAAGCTGGTCAAGTGGGAGTTGCTGGAATTCACAAGTTTTGTACTATTCATGTCAAAAACTTGTAAACACAGTACTTTTAAAAGAATATACAACTTTTAAAATACATACATACCTCAGGATCAATAACATCAAGTAAATCATCGAAAGTGCGGTACGTCTTGCCAGAGCAAAGCTTTCTGTACTTGATGTAGGGTGGAAATCCAAAGTATCGATTTTTAGTTAGATCACTCGATAAGAGGTCAACAGCTAATTGGTGAGGCCCCAAACCTTGTTCTGCTATCTAAAAATGAAATAGAGTAATAACATGAGCTCATCTGCAGAGGCAAAACACCTAGTTAGGTATTTGTGTAGGTATCATAATAATATTTTATCTTTCATTTTAAATAAAACTATCTTTTCGGATTTTTTCGCGGATTTATTTTGATTTTTGTCATCAATCAAAATAAATCCGCGAAAAAATCCGAAAAGATAGTTTTATTTAAAATGTCAAATATTTGCGTAAATCTAAGAAAGTATATCTATCATTCTTATAATCTTATTGTCTTATATGTAATGGATAATCACTTAAGTACTTACTGAAAAGTATTCATGGTGTTACTGAATCTATAAGGCATTAGTATTTTAAGGATTTAATTGTGTAAAATTTATAAAAGATATTTATAATTTTTTTAAAATAAAACATTCAACTACGTACTCCTTTCAAATACGAAAACGTAGTTGCTTAGAGACATGACTTACATCAAATTCCTCTCTTAATCTCCAAGAAAAAAAATCCATTACTTTGAGCTTTCTTAATTTATAGCGAGATTATAGCAGAAAGAAGTAAAAAACTGTTATTTTTGTAATCTCATCGACATTCCATTATATTGAGAAAGGTAAAGTAGCAAAAAATATGTTATAATTTATTGATTTATATGTATCTATCTAAATATGTATGTATGTATGTTTGTATATTTGTATATTTATATTATAATTGATGTTTGTATTATGTACCTACACCGCACCTCATTATAATTTTTATATTTTCTCACGCTTGAGGGTTTCTGGTAGAGATCTCTTAAAGAGATAAGTTATCCTTTGTACACATGGTATATGTTTTCATTTGTTTGTTTTTTTCCCGGTACATAAATAAATAAATAAATTAATTAAACAAATAAATAAAATATGACTTACATCTGGATCAACAATGTAGTCAAATTTAGCAGAGGGCTGCCTAAAAGCTCCGTGGGTAATGTATTCCAAATTCTCATCTAAATACCCAGTTCTTAGAGTCAAATTAACTACTGGAACCTCTTTTAAATAAACGCCTTTAGTGTCGTACATTCTAAAAGAAAAACATAACAATCTATTTATAAATAGATACAGACAAAAGATATACCTTTTATACCTTTATGCCCTCTGTTTATCAACCGATTTTTTATTGTTTTGAAGCTATTGACGAACTTAAGTGTTATCATTAAAAAACTGTTTTCCACAAATTTTCGATAATGATAATGATCGGATTTCAACCAATGGGCAAACACTATTTTCGAATAAATCAAAGAAAATATCTTAACCCTTAAGTGGGCATGGGGTCATCGTAACTTTGGCGCAATAAAATACGTACATATTTGTAACAAACACAGCGCATTCGTATTCTTGCTAGAGCAATCTATTGATTTGATGAATTTGATGTAGAAAAAAATATTGGTGCTTCTGACCAAGAAGAAGCTGTGGTCCATATAAATATATAATAATGCGGCAAAAAATGTAGCTACCGATAATGCACAAAATATTAAAATAAATACATACTGTAATGCTACTAAAGCAGGAATAAACTACAATTACCAGGCTGGTGCTAATTATAAAACTGGGAGAGAAACCAAAAGATGGCCATTGGCTATATTTTTTATCTATTGAACGTTCACTGCTTATACACTTTAGTGGTGCATAAGACAAATACAGACAAAGTTATTTCTTATACATTATATGATGCATCTTTTTGAAAAAAACTAGCCTTGGTTAGTTAGCCGTGACTTAGACTTGGTTGTAAAATTTTAAAAACGTCCTAATGGATAACGAGCAATCCCTAAGTAAAAAAACCCAACTATATAAAAAAAATGTTGCTCAATGGTCGCCAAAAATAGTCGCTGTTTGTCATGTCGTAAGAAAAGTGAAAAAAAAGTAATGCACAGATGCACTAAGTGTTCAAAATGTATATGCACCTTTTTGCACCGAATCATCTGATCTATCGGAATATTTTTATTTCCTGAAGGAATGAATTGACCTCAGTCATATATTATATTTTTGCTTTTTATTAGAGGTTCATTTTGTTTTTTCTGATCTTTTAAGAAACAGGCGATCTTTTTTGTTCTATATTTGATTATACTATAACATAATATTTCATTTGATTTCAATGAATGACAAAACTTTTCAATTAAAGACAAAATTTTCTATATTCATGGGACCACTTGTGTTATTTTCTCCATGTACCCAATGAAGAGTTATAATATTTCTCATTTAAGCCTAGTTGAATCGAGAGGGCGAGTCAGACTCGCATTTGGCCAGTTTTTATTTTTTTCTTAAAATTGAGAATTCATTAAAAATGTATAAAACAATAATTACGCTTGCACAATACACAATACAATTGGCAAATATATTTTTGCTAACTCGATTATTGTTTAATCTTTTAATTTAGGACTCGCGCATAAAGGGTTTCGTACTATTATCTATAAAAACAGCAAAAAAAAATCACGTTTGTTGTATGGGAGCCTCCTTAAATATTTATTTTATTTTGTTTTTTTCTATTTGTTGTTATAGCGGCAACAGAAATATGTACATCATCTGTCAAAATTTCAACTGTTTAACTATCACGGTTCATGAGATACAGCCTGATCACAGACGGACAGACAGACGGACGGACAGCGGAGTCTTAGTAATAGGGTCCCGTTTTACCCTTTGGGTACGGAACCCTTATAAACTACTCTAAAATACTTTGTTATGAACGCAGAACCCGAACCATACTCGAAACTGGCAGTTTCTCGATAACCAATCACAGCGCGAGGACCTTGGGCCCCTTTCAGCTCAGGGCATACCTCTATAAACTATCTTTCTCGCACCTATGGCTACGCATAAGACTTTTTTGTAGTACTCATTTGTAAACTTTATTTACGTCTGGGAATGGTTTAAAACCGGTAAATTCGTCTGGCAATTTGCAAATATTATTGAAAATTACTCTATAAATACGTGATTAAAATTTCAGATCGCCAAAAGTATATTTTTTGGAATTTCAATAAGTATCTTTGGAGAGGTCTGGCAATACTTTATAACCGACAAAAAAGTCTGGGGTTCTTTTTTTTGAATTATATGAAAAAAAATTAAACAAAAATCAAGTTGCCAAAAATATGTTTTTTTGGATATTTTTTTACAAATGTTACATAGGTACTGAGCAGTAGCGAAATAACCGCTAACACTATACCAGACTCGCGGGACTAGAGTCGCCAATTCACGAAATTATATTTTTTCACAATTTCAACTCGCCAAAAGGACCATCCCAAAATTCGTCACGAGCTCTCGGGCTATATTTAGCTCCGAAACCAACTATAAGGTACAAAAAGTAAACATTAAAACACTTACTTTAGTCTTCCTTCTTGAATTGTATGAGCCCAACGCAACACGAATGGGAATTCGAGTGTTATTTGCGGTACAAGATCGTCATTGTATATATCTCTAAAATCCTCAGTAAATGGTGACAGTACTCCATTTCTTACCAAATTATCATATCCTGTACAATGGGCATATATATTTATTAGTATTATTAGTAACAATAAATATCTTTATATATATAATTCTTCTGTGAGTGTGTATGTCACTGAACTTCTCTGAAACGACTGGACCGATTTTGATGAAATTTTTTGTATGTGTTCAAGGGGATCTGGGAATGGTTTAGATTCACAATTTGAATAATAATTTTCATCAAAAAAATTATTAAAAAAAGTTTGAAATTTTCAAATTAAAGACGTGTAGACAGGACAACGTCTGTCGGGTCCGCTAGTAGTCACATAAATCACTTAATTCATAAGAAGCAATTTTTTTTTTATTATCTAAGTTATTATCAACAAATATCTAAACAAATATATCCTATATCTTATTTACATTCAAATGAAAAATATTTAACATTTAATTAATATAAATACATTTAATAGCTTTTGCTATAATTTTTTTTTCAATCTCTTGGACTTTATACTGCCTTTTGTTTTTATTTAAAATACATACGAATTAACATACAATTTATATTTTTTATATATACAAATACATATAAATTTAACTAAATTAAACTATTACATGTACCTGTTTTTAAACATTCTTAATCGTAAATTGGGAAAAATATATTAAAAAAAACTTAAAAAATAAATAGAAACCGACTTCCAGGCACTAAAATATAAAAAATAACTAAACGGAGGTTTTCATTTAGAATAGATACCTAATCAGATATTTTCGAAGTCGGTGCCAGCCGATGCAAAGCAAATCTAATATATTTCGATACGTAAAATACATATTTACCTATTAGATATTCATATCTTAAAATATTGTCGGCTTATCATTAAAGTATTATTCTTAGCTATTAAAGTACAACTAAACTACGACTATTTTGTAGAAAAAACTTCTTGATTATGAAAAAATATGTTCTTTCACACAAATTTTGCTTTTAAGTGTCATTTCGAAAAACTGCCTTATGAAACAAATTCTTAATATTATTTAAATTTATGGTCCTAACTAAATATCTCACCCATTAAAGTCGGCATTAGTTCATAGTAGTAAATCTGCATCATAATTGCTATAGTAAGTTCCCTCGCCATGTAGAAGAGTTTCTCGTCGTCCCAGCAGGGATTTACTTCTGCTAATCCAGTGGCTATACGATTGTGCAAACGCCATAACCAAATTGTAAACAAATTACTGCCTAAAACACTGTTACCGCCGCCTTCCGCTGTACAAAAATATATAACTTTATATAAAATGTACATACAATATACATATTATAAATATAAACACCCATGACTGGAGTACAAACATTTGCACTCGACTTGAACCGCTGGCACAGCAAGTAGGGTTACCACAAACAGGGCCAAACGTATCGTCATATTTAATATGGTTAAAAAATATTTTGACTCACGTATATCATGACATCTAGTTTCGTGGGGTAACTTGTTCAGGAAGCATAGGTTATCCGTAGTGTTTACACTAGGTGGCCAAATTTTTCCATTAGCTACTTCAAATTTCAGCAAGCCCTTTTCAAATTTTCTAACCTTGGCGTTGAGAAAATTCAGTGATGTACCATATAATTGAGATAGGTCAAATGCGGGAGTCGATGATGTAATCTGGTAAGTTTTAATCATTAGTTCATTGACTTAATATCTTTCCAGCTTATGATCTATTTAACTTTAACTATTATTACTTACTCTTTCAGGAAGTGTTTTGTTCTTCAAACAGCCCCTTGATTGAAAAGTCTCTGGTCTTGTCAAATTCAGACATCTTATGGATGAAAATCTATGTACAGGATCATCGTCAGGTATTTTTATTGAAATGCATTTTTTATCTGTTTTCCCTTTTTCTTCACAACAATAGGGCGTCCATTTAATGTAATTTACTAAAATAGAATAATTTGCTACAATTTTAGGGCCTTTGCTATAATTTAGCGAAAACAAAGGTAGGTAAGATCCTCCTAGCTCCATTTAGAATTTCACTCAAACCCGTCGATCTCTGATATATAATATAACGATCTTGAAATGATAAATAAGAAAAGGTGCAAATGATAATTATAGATCAATTTATAATATAAGGCAATCAAATTATTAAAAAGGATAAAAAATAAGTAAAGAGATCACAAAAACATGATAATATAAAATTATGAAAATGTATATAATATTAACTTCTAGGGTGTAATTTAATTTTTTTGATCTTTGTAATAATATATTTTTCTGTTTAACATTAATAAATTTTCCCATTATAAAATATCTCACATACTTGACAAAAGCGGTAATTTAGAAATATATGTTGTAGGGACATAATCTAGTTCCATGGTAAGCTCCCCCCCAACGTGCGTTCACCTTGTCGTGGTGGGGGGGCTCAGTAGTAGTAGCGAAGCTAAGAAACGCACAGGGAGGTTGCCCACTTCGGTGGGCGGTGGGAGGTGGCCCTCTTCGGGGGGCGGTGTACCATGCGGGTTGCTCCTGGTACTTCTCTGATATAGCAGAGTGGACTGTGGAGCAACCCCATGGTTGTGGTGGTCTGCTTCGGCAGACCTACCGTCGGGGCGTCGTAGTTGAATGCGTAAGCGATCCTGCGACGCCCCATTAAGACGGTGGAAGGTTTTGTTGGGTTTTAGTGGGTAGTACTGGCTGTATTACGCCGGTGAGTCCCACACGTCGTGCGTAAATGCATTTCCCAACGTTAAAAAAAAAAAAAAAGTTCCATGGTAAGCTACGAGGCTTGTGTTATGGATACCAGATAGTTGATACACTACACATATATAAACTTTAAATACATACATATTATAAATATAAGCACCCATGACTGGAGTACAAACATTCATACTCATCACACAGTGAATGCCCCCAGCAGGACTCGAACCCGCGACCTCTACCACAGCAAGTAGGGTCACTACACACTGAGCCAAACGTGTCGTCATCATCATCATTATTCAATGAAATATCAAGGTTTAGGCTATTTACTGAACTTGCAATCTTTAGAATCTACTATTTTCTACACTTCACGTGTAAATACATATTTTTTGCATATTTTGACATAATGATTATTTAACTTATTATTAATAGGCTTGAGTTTTTAAAAATGGAAACCTACACGCAACCTGGAAATTTAAAAAAAAAATCTAATAATCATGCCATAGTCCAACACGCTGATCAAGAGATTCGTACATAAAAATATTCGAGGTGCCCGACCCGGGATTTGAACCTGCTTCACTCTGCACTGAGCTACCACTGTTAATGACAATTATTATCCTTAAGCATTTATAAATCCAACCGTGCTACTTTGATTTAACGAAATCGGAACCCACTGAACTGATTCATTTAAGTCATTTCAGCGAATTAAGTGTGAAAACCTAACAGACAAACAAACAGAGTTACGTTTGCATTTATAATATTAGTATGGATATGCTTTTCACCCTCCTACCCCCACCCCCATTTTTTAAGTAAATAGGAGCGAACTCGAGCAGAGCGAGGGTAGTTGCTAGTATTCATAATATAAATTAGACTCATAATCTCATGTGTTACACAAATATGAAAAAAATAATATTTTTGATCAAAGAAACTTGAGCAATAAGTATATAAATGTTTATATTTAAAACTATTACAAAAATATTAACATCTCAAGGTAAATTTCTAAGAACTTAATTAAATTTCTAAGAAATCTATTGTTAACTGTAACGCCGGCGTGTCCGCGATCGTGGAGGGAGTGTATTAATATTATTTAATATTACATACCTGTATCATGTACGGATAAAACATCGCTAGTAATAAACACAAAGAAATGAAGCAAAAGTTGGGTAAATCTCGTGTCTGGCACCCTTCCTTCTGCCATGACTGTTGTCCTCACTGATCTAGCGAGCGGCAAAGGTTCTCCAGATTTGGTCTTCCTGGGCTCAAAATCTATCAATAGAAAGAATATTTTTATAATTTGTCTTTAAATCCATTTCTGAATACGCAAAATAAATAGGGGGCAGCCAAGTCTAAAATATATTTTTATATTTTTACTAGCGAGTGTCCCTCGTTCCCCTAGTTACTTTTTAACTTTTAGTATAGATTTTTTAGAGACGAGATATTTTCCCGCAATAAAAAGTATCTTATGAGTATATGTTGAAACGGATAGCCTAGATAGCTATCATAATACCAAAATTAATCAAAATTTGTCCAGTGGTTTTCTTGTGATGCGTTCCCAGATATATAGACAGATAGACAAAAATTCTAAAAACTATAGATTCGGCCTCTGTGTCAATAATAATGACAATTTCAATAAGATTTCCCAAAAAAATATTACTACAATTTAATGTACAGATTCGACTGAGTTAGAATTTTTTATATGTATAGATATAGGTTCGCTCAAGTATTCCATACAAATGTATTAAAATAAAAAATATTGAATGTTCTAAAAATATACTAAAAAATGATTTTACGAGTGATAAATTTCCCATTACAACAAAATATCATAAAAATATTATAAAGCTAATATAAAAAAAACTTTTATGTTAAGCTCCAATAATGATAGGTTCTAAAATATATACCTACTCTTGAATAGAAATAAAATAATTTGTGTTTCGGTACTTTTGATTTATCAATTATGGTACCGAAAAATCTTACCAAGGAAATAAAATAAGAAATTTAAAAGTTTAAAATGTAAAATATTAAAATAATGTTATGTTAATATTGCAAATTAAAACCTGTATCATATTCAGGGGGTAGTAGTCTTAAATTAGGCGTGTGAGCCGCTCCTCTGTTGGGATACTTAAGGTTGTTGCAGGAACCATCAATTCTCCTCCCCTCGTACGGATTGCATGGCATGATTTCATTGATACACCAACTGTTAGAAATAACATAATGTTATAATATTTTAATACTCATTTATTATATTGACATAAAAATCTAATATATAAATATCTCGTGTCACGTTGTTTGTGGTCGCACTCCTCCGAAACGGCTCGACCGATTTTAATGATTTTATGTATATTTAGTAGGTATGAGATTAGGTGGTAAAGTATTTTTCACCCTCCTACCCCCACCCCCATTTTTTAAGTAACTAGGGGCGAACTCGGGCAGAGCGAGGGTAGTCGCTAGTACTCATAATATAAATTAGACTCATAATCTCATATGTTACACAAACATGAAAAAAATAATATTTTTGATCAAAGAAACTTGAGCAATAAGTATATAAATGCTTATATTTAAAACTATTACAAAAATATTAACATCTGTAGGTAAATTTTTAAGAACTTAATTAAATTTCTAAGAAATCTATTGTTAACTGTAACGCCGGCGTGTCCGCGATCGTGGTGGGATTAAAGAATAAAACACGCAATCACTGTAAAGTTGATAGGGATAGATATTAGATAATAATTAATCTAAAAAAAGAAATAGGTACTTCTTGAGATCCAATAAGTTTAAGCTTTAGTAAAAGTTTTAAAATGCCGATACAAGCTTTGTTTATATAAAAAAAAAATTATATTTTGAACTATGATAATTGATTAATAAATTAATTAAAATTTTACTTACAATGTAGAATTCTGTTTAATATATGGTTTAACATCTTCTTTAGTTAACTCGTTACCCGAATATGAGTCATAAAACACAGTTTCCGTTAGAACACCCGTTGCAAAACTTAATAAAAATATGCACAGCATTCTTAATAATTATACACTTGTTATGGTTTGTGCTACAGGTGGAGATCCATACGAGACTAATATGAAATCTAAGTGAGCAATAAACTTAAAGGCGGTTGTTTAGAGTCGACTTCTTTCACTCACGCTTCAACCCCTCCAACGCAAAAACAGTTAATATTTTTCTTAGAAAAAAATATTTTGTTGTATTATTTATTTAAATTACCTTACCTTATAACTTAAATGCGCAATTCTTGCATATATATACATTCATATATTTCGTGTTTCTTGGAAACGTCTTTAACGATTTGTTTCAAGTTTTGTATTTAGATAAGGTTTTACCTTATAAGTTTTTCTATGTGAGCTTGTTTCTCTGTAAACTAGACAACTCGCTGTCTCAAATAGATATCACACACGAGATAGCTCTAAGATTCCCTAAGCTTCAGAAGATTCCTTAAGCTATCTGTGCCCAGTGCACAATATCCATTTAAATTAATTTTATTATATTAAAAACTTTTTTGAAGTGCTTAAGACCTAGTCCCCTAATATATCACAAATGCAGCATTTATACTTTAAGGCCATTAATTAATAAAAAAAAATATGTTTATATGTAAATAGTTTAATATTTTCTATAATAGTGGAAATATGTTTGGTTCTTCTGCTTTTTATTATTAACTATTAAGATGTTTATTATCTTAATAGCTTTTTTCAAAATCAAGCAAAAAAAGGTGACCTTAGACCTTTTTTTCTTTTATTTGAACACCCATTAAATGCAAGTGTATATTCTGAAAAACCGGCCAAGTGCGAGTCGGACTAGCGCACGAAGGGTTTTGTATAATTATCTATAAAAAGGGCAAAAACATCACGTTTGTTGTTTGAGAGCCCCACTTAAATACTTGTTTTATTTTAATTTAATTATTTATTTTAAAATTGAATATATAACTAAATATTCTATAAATATTTCAAGCGTACCTGTTGCCGTTATCAATATCGAGCATAAACGAGCAAAAAAATCACGTTTGTTGTATCGGAGCCCCCTTAAATATTTATATTATTATGTTTTTTAGTATTTGTTGTTATAGCGGCAACACAAATACATCATCTGTGAAAATTTCAACTGTCTTACTATCACGGTTCATGAGATACAGCCTGGTGACAGACAGACAGGCAGACAGACGGACGGAGAGCGTAGTCTTAGTAATAGGGTACCGTTTTACCCTTTGGGTACGGAACCCTAAAAACACAATTTTTATATCTTTATATATTTTCCGAGAAACGCTGAGCAAAGCTTGGTCGCCTAGGTAGGTACTATGAATAGTAAACGGTCTTGAAGTAATATTAATTTTTTTTAATAAATTATCAAAATATTTAGTCGCAATAGTAGTTTCAATTTAAAATTCACTCGCAATTACAAACACTACAAATGTTATTTCGGAGCACAAAAATTTAAAAACTTTAGGTACATGTTTTGTATTTTAATAATTTTGTCTCTCATATCTACTAACTGGCGTCCCAGCCGCGCTCCGCTCGAGTGCGTCCCTAGTTACAGTTAAGGTTTAGTATAGATTTCTCAGAGATGAGATATTTTCTCGAGGTAAAAAGTATGCTATATGTTGATCCGCATAACCAGCTATCACCATACCTAATTTCATCAAAATATGTCCATTCTGTGATGCATTCCCAGACAGACAGACATACAGACAGACAAAAATTCTAAAAATTATAGATTCGCCTCTATGTCGATAATAATGATTATTTCATTAAGTTTTTTCAAAAAACATTTAATGTACAGATTCGACTCAGAATTTTAGTATATGTATAGATTTTGTCTATTACGTGTTACTTATATATAAAATATTTTTTATATATAATTTATTATAAAAATTTGACGACACGTTTGGCTCAGTTTCTAGTGATCCTTCTTGCTCTGCCAGCGGTCACGGATTCGAGTCCTTTACTTATACTTTTATTGTACTAAAACAGTCTTTTATAATTTTTAAAAACATTTAAAACTCTTTGTTATAATTCGCCATATAAACTCTAGGTACATATATATATATATATATATATATATATATATATATATATATATATATATATATATATATATATATATATATATATATATATTTATTATACAGAATATTATATGTAGCCTCTTCAACTTGTATGTAAACATTTTCATACCTACTCATTTTTGTGTTAATTTAATTAGTTAAGATTGCTCGCATTTTAATTTTTGCATAAAAACTTTCGGCATAAAACGGATATAGTACCGAGATTATGAGTCGCGAATACGATTGAGGTGAGGCCGGCGCGAGGCAACTACCAAGTACACTTCCGCACATGACGCATTTCGGTTAGAATATTTGTAGTTATGTTACAGTTGTAATATAAAAAGGAGTTACAGCTAAATAAGGCCTCTTACAGACTTACTGGCTGCCCTACTTTATCTTTTTCTTTATCTGCTCAACACTTGTCATCAACTTATAGGATCGCTCTTATGGTTTTCTTGACTATTAAACCTGTAGGAAATTCGTAATGAACATAATGAAACGTGTTAAAACGAGAGATGTGGACATCCTGCGCAAATGATGCGGTGCATGGTGTTACACTTTCTTTTCTTGTGTGGTTTGAAAGTAATAATAATAAATATGTTGGGACATTAACACACGGCACCATCTAGTTCCATGGTAAGCTAAGAGACTTGTATTATGAATACCAGATAGTTGATACACTACACATATTCAAAATTTTTTAAATTCAAAATTCAAAAAAAAGATTGAAGAATTCAAAAACAGAACCAAACGTGTCGACAAAAAAGTGCACATTAATTGGATAATGATGTTCTTCTAGCTGATTCCGGCCACGCGGCCAAACTCATTGAGACTAGCCAACTGCGCAGGAGATATTATAGTGCACAAGTGTACGCGCAGACACACCGTGCACTATCTATACCTATACGGTAGCTATTAGAAAATTGTCTTGTAGAGACTTAGCAATGATAGCCATTGTTTTAGATGAGGAAGGAAGAAAAACGAATAACATTAGTCGATCAAGACGTTACTGGGTTCACGCCGCTTTAAAAAAGAAAATATTATGAGTAACATGACAAGCGGCTACACGTTGATAACGGGCTTAAAATGGTCATCATACGTGGTTGTAACTCGTATGCTCACCGTTTCGCCACCTGAGTGCACCGGTTCGGCAACGTCGCGTGCCAGGTACAGAGCGTACCGGCACCGGAAAAATATTCTCGCCGACAATTGTTACCACTCCGTGTACGGCATGCGACGGTGCCGGTCGGTGACGAAACGGTCTAGTGGACAGTCTCATACTTTTCCATACAAAAAATATTTTTTGCCTGACACGGTCCTAGCACGATCATGGTATGAGACGATGTAGTGGGCAGAGTCCTTTAATAATAATATTCTTTACGCTTTAATGTCGTGTTTCTTATTTGAAGTTATTTTCATGTCACAATTTTCTGTTGAGTGATGATGAGTTTTTAAGTTCTTAATTTGTGTTTTATTAATTCGATTATGAAAGGAATAGTGACAACCAAAGATATTACAAAATATTTTTATTCATGTATTTAAATAATTAAGATATTAAAAAAAATATAGAGAGAAGGATTAGTTAATCATAATTATTTATTTGGAGACTGGTTACCACAAGTCTGGTCCCTCCACTGTGAGAAATTCATTTTTCGGATTTTATTGCAGCTTCGCATCTCATTTCTGAAATAAAAACAACATATTTTCAAAGCTAATAAGGTTATTATATATGAACTAGCTACTCACCCTCGCTTCGCTCGGGTTTATCCCTAGGTTGATTCCCCATACAAACTTTTATCCCCATTTTCAACAAGGGTCTCAAACTATCTTCTAACTCAATTTAATCTAAATCGGTTCAGTAGATCCAGAGATTACCCCATACAACCACACAAACTTTACCTCTGCATAATATTAGTATAGATAACGAATACTATAATTTGTAAGACTTTTTCAATAAAACTATTATTATAATACGTTTAGCTAACATTGAAAAAAAACGTGTATTTATATAAAAGATACTTGCGAAGTATAAGAGGAAAAAACGTATTGAACCTCTAATACTTCCCAATTAATAATTTATATTTTTAACAATAGCAACATCGATGAGATGATGTTATAATCTTTTTAAGTACAAGAATATGTTTTTGAGTGTCGACTAGAAACCTCAAAGAAATCAAAGGTATTTGACTTGGAATATCTAGATGTTATGTAAAAAAATACAATTATTCAGTTATTTCGTATATAATTTATAGATTTTCATTCATATTCAATGATAGAATGAGATCTTCAAATTAAAAGATCGGCTTAAGAAATTGATTGTAAGGCGATGGCATTTGATCGATCAAATTCCTTGAAATGCCTTATGAAAAAGAAAGGAGAGTATCCAGCGATAAACATTTTCAGCAGTTGAACTTTTTCTACTTGATGATATCAATACATAAACACTCATAAGATAAAATAGCAATAAAGACAAAGCTTTATAAAGGAAAAATTGCTAAAAAAAATCTTACGAACGCTACGCAGAACTAATGCCACAATTTTATTTTATTTCGAGTGTATATCGAATTCAGGAGCATCACAGATTTTAGAAATTTAGAAGTATAACATCAAAATGTTAATGCAAATTTTTATTTTTGACTAGCGACTCACCCTCGCTCCGCTCAGGTTTGTCCCTTGGTACTTTTTAACAGTTAGTATAGATTTCTCACATTTATATTTTTACCATTTTAACCAGTTATCATCATATCAAATTTTATCAAAATTAATGCAGTAGTTTTCTCATCATGCGTTCTCAGACAGACAGACAGATAGACAGGCAGACAGACAAAAGTACTACAAAGTATAGATTCGGCCTCTGCATCGATAATAATGAATATTTTGATAAGATTTTCCAAAAAAATATTTCATGTACAGATACGACTCAGTTACAATTTTATTATATGTATAGATAGATGAAAGTATCCTTTCTGTAGTGTGGCTTAGACAAGGCGTCATTGTACAATGATTGAAGAATAAAAATTTAAAAATCTAAATGACATATTATGATTTTATTGACTTTTTTTGTGAGTGTTAAATTAAATTATTTAAAAAAAAATGTTCCTTGGATTTAATTTAAATTTTTGTAAGATTTTATTTCATAATTATATCAATTTGTTGTGTAAATCTCGTATGAAGTTGTTTTTTCAAGTAAAATTAATTAAAATAAATCCAATTAACACCTCCAGGTAAATTTCTAAGAAATTTATTAAATTTCTGAGAAATCTATTGTTAACTAAACCCCGGCGTGTCCGCGGTCGTGGAGGGTTTATTATAAAGTAATATTTTTCCTTCTCTATTTTGACTATTCCTTACACTTACCCAGGTCCAGGCAAAAAGAATGCATGTGGTTGTATGGTGGTTACTTTATCAGCTACAGCACACATGATCTGCGCAACTGAAGTCTTCCTTATTTCCAAGAGCTGATCTGTAAAATACAAATAAATAAAAACATTTGAGATGAACGATTGTTTAGGTTTTCGATTTTTTTTATTTATATAAAAGTTATATTTTAAATAAATAAATCTATCTTTTAGAATTTTTTCGCGGATTTATTTTGATTTTTGGTTCCCGAAGTTTCGATGCTTTACAGCAACCATGGTCACGGGAGAGACTAAAGTTTTAGATGTCTCAAAGGCAATGTGTAGTTGTTACAGAAAGCCTACCCACAAAGTAACAAAATGAATTCAAAAATAGAACCAAACTACCTACCTTATAATATTTTTTAATTTTAATTTTAAACATTTTTGTAATTTTAATAAGTTTTATAATTGAATATTGAATAATATATTATTTAATTTTAGCCGTTATTATAATCCACGAAAAAAACGATAGTTTTATTTAAAATGTCAAATATTCGCGTAAATCTAAGAAAATATTATTTATAAAAAAATATATATAGTTAAATTATTACCTATAGAAAAAGCATTTGGTCGGTTAGGTCTTTCATACCAATGTCTGTCTGACACTATGTTCCTGTACATTTGGTCTACGACGATACAGTATAGTGTGGGAGGGGCATAGCCTCCTTCAATAGGTCTTTCTAACCATACACCCGCTATTAAGTCGATATCCTCCACGTGCTTGTATTTTTCTTTAAGCAATTCTATTCTCTATTAAAAAACATGAAAAACATAAATAATTAAATTATATTTTGAGACAATAAATAAAATTCATTTAATAATAATGTCTTTCCGACCGATTCCGGCCACGGCGGCCAATCTCATTGAGACTAGCCAACTGCGCAGGAGATATTATAGTGCACAAGTGTACGCGCAGACACAACGTGCACTCTCTATTCCTGTCACTCTCATACTCCGGTGGGACGACACGAGACACGACCAGTGAGAGTTAAGGCGCAGGACCGACGGCTTTACGTGCTCTCCGAGACACGGGGGTGAAACAACGCCAACTTAAACTTTTCTCAATGAAGAGACTGAATAACTAATAGGCGCGACCCGGGAGTAGAACCCAGGATCTCTGAATATGTAGCCGTACTTGCTAGTCACAACACCACAGAGGCAGTTAGAGTTCATGTACAAGATATATAAAGCAATTCTATAAAGATAATAGTAATAATAATAAATATAATTCTATAAAGATTCATAAAGTAGTTGATTTTGTGTACCACCTGCCCGGTTAACCTGTCTTTTATTAGCTGTCAGTTAATTAATAAAGTTTTTTATTTCAAAGTCTACGCTTATACCTTACATGGTAAGAAACATATTTAATAAAACACTAAAGCGTAACAAAATTCAAAAAGATAGTGTAAATCTAAGCATTATTTATTATTGCATAGTTAAACTAGAAAAACATAATTAGAATCAATATTGAGTACAAAATACAATCTGATCGTTTTAATATAAATTATCAATTTAATACTTTTTTTTATAATATATTATGAAAAAGACTTAAAATAAATTATATTATGATAATTTTAACATAGAACTTTCACAAAAGCATTAATATTATAAATAAATAAATACGTTGGGACATTAACACAGCGCAATCTGGTTCCATGGTAAGCTACGAGGCTTGAGTTATGGATACCAGATAGTTGATACACTACACATATGTAACTTTAAATACATACATATTATAAATATAAACATCCATGACTGGAGTACAAACATTCGTCATCACACAAATGAATGCCCCCAGCGGGACTCGAACCCGCGACCACTGGCACAGAAAGTAGGGTCACTACAAACTGAGCCAAGCGTATCATCAAATTATAGAATTAATATTCTCTCGATGTCAAATTCCACTTAACTAAAGATGATCTGATGAAAAATCTTTGATTTTAAACACATACCTCAGGATCAATAACATCATACAAGTCATCAAACGTGCGATACGTCTTGCCGGAGCACAGCTTTCTGTATTGAACGTATGGAGCGAAACCAAAGTACCGATTTTTCGTCAGATCACTGGTGAAAACATCAGAGGCTGCCTGATGACCAGCCAAAGCCGATTCCGCCATCTAAAGAAATATCATAAAATCTTTATAAGTACAACTAATTTAAAAAATTTCAGTAATTATTTTGATGAGATATACATATGTATAATGTTGACAATTTGTAATATTTTTGCTAAAAGAATAACCTCAAAAGAATACTTATAATTTATTTCTTTTTATATTAATAAATCATGTTATATTGTTTCTTTACTTTGAAATAAGCAGTAACGTAAAAGAAATAAAACCGGTATTCCGGTATGGTTTTTTTAAATATAAATTATCTGTATCAAGTATTTAACGAAATATTTTTAACTTATTATGTATAATAGAAACTCAATTTTTATAGTAACAATTTATGGTATTTATACTTACATCTGGATCGATAACGTAATCAACTTTACCGGAGGGCTGTCTAAAGGCTCCTTGGGTGATATATTCCAAGTTATCTTCTAAATATCCAGTTCTTAGAGTTAAATTAACAAGCTTAGTCTCCTTTAAGTAAACTCCGTTTGTGTCATACATTCTGAAAGACGATGAGAAATTAATTCATTAACAATTCATATTGTAATATTGTTTAATGCAAATATGGGATCACAAGTTCTACAATGTATATGTTATGATAATATTGCTTTAAATACTGAAATGAGACAAAAATTCATTTGACATATAACAAAGACCTAAGAGAAGTGAAAAAATATCATAAGTTATCTTCTAAATAATATTTACAATTGTTTATGGTTTAATCAAAATAACTTACTTTAAAGTTCCTTCTTGAATGGTATGAGCCCAACGCAAAATATGTGGAAACTCCAGTGAGATTTGTGGCACTATATTATCATCGTATATATCTCTAAAGTCATTAGTTGGTGAGAGAACACCAGTTTGAACTAAATTATCATAACCTGAAAATCAAAGCGTATCATTTATTTCTTGAAATATATAGATTCTTGAAATATTTAATATATTAAAGATCCTAATATAATACTTTGTTAAATGTACTTTGGTGGCATTTTTGTATTTTTGAAAATTATTGTATAATTTTGCGAAAAACCGAAAAGATAGTTTTATTTTTTAAATTCTAATATATTAAATTATCTCAAGTATAACGCTACGGCAAACCCTAATTTTAAATTAATATTAAATTAACTCCATGACTTTTTTGAGGAAGAATTTCGGGGAGAGATTGGTAGTGGAATGGGAGCTAGTTCTTTGGACGAGTTTTTATATTGTAATAAATACTATAGGATAGGTAAATGTTATTGTGAATTTCTCTTAAACACACCCTTTTTGTATGTAAGAAATACAAGTGCTCGCGCACATTTCATGCATATATTTATTTTACCCGTTATTGTCATGAATGAAGAACATGAAAGCGCAAATGGCATTGCAAGTAATTAGATTATGCTAGCATTATATATAGTATGAAGATTATTGCAAATATTATTGTAACTGTTAAAAATATTTCCTTTTTAGACAAATAGAATATTATTAAATTATAGAAAAATCTCACCCATCAACGCAGGCAATAGTTCATAGTAGTAAATTTGCATATTAATAGCGATAACTAATTCCCTCGTCGTAAAGAAGAGTCTCTCGTCGTCCCAGCAGGGATTGATTTCTGCTAGCCCAGATGCTATATGATTGTGCAAACGCCATGTCCAAATCGTAAATAAATTTGCCCCCAATACACTATTTCCGCCAATTTCCGCTGTAAAACATAAAAATCCATATAAGTAAATAAGTCTTACTGTAGAAATACTTTAAACATGCAATTTTCAATCTATTTTGACTTACGTATGTCATGACATCTAGTTTCATGAGGTAACTGATTCAGAGTGCACAAATGCTTGCCCTTCGCACTGGGTGGCCATATTTTCCCGTTAGATACTTCAAATTTCAGCAAGCCTTTCTCAAATTTTCTACTCTTAGTATTGAGTACCTTCAGCGACATTCCATATATTTGAGATAGGTCAAATATCGGAGATGCTGATGTAATCTTTAATGAAATCAAAATTATTATTGTTAACGAGTCGCTTGTGCCTTTTGCTTGAATTTTGTTTACAAGTAAATAGCGTAACGTATTAGAAAGTTTTCTTACTTACATATCTATCATCTCTTCCAAATTCAGCAAGACATTTCAGTGTGAAGGAAGAACAAATATACATAAACACGCGCAAATACACTCAGACAAACAAACTTTCACAGCTATGGTAATTTATAGTAATTATTAGTTTTACATTTTTTTTAATTAAAGATATTTACTAAAATTAACTCTTCAATCTAAATTTGTTTTACTCATTACTTACTCTTTCAGGAACAGTGTCATTTTTCAAACAACCACTATTTTGAAAAGTGTGAGGTCTTGTTAAATTAAAGCATCTTATAGAAGAAAATCTATGTACTGGATCATCGTCAGGTATTTTCATTTGAATGCATTTTTTATCTGTTTTTCCTTTTTCTTGACAACAATGAGGTGTCCACCTAACATAGTTTACTGAAAATTAAAAAAAAAAAACATTTTTAGTTAGTTATCAGCTTATATCATAATAGTACTTTTTAGTATTATATATAAGAGAATGATTGCAACTAATTATGACATTTTTAAAATTATTAATCAATTATTAGAAACTATTACCTACATGAATCAACGAACTGTCCTTTATATTACAATACTCCACTAATAGAAAATAAAAAACTTTAAAAACCCCTTACACAAAAAGAAACAAAAACTCAAGACGCTACGATACCACAGACAGACACACACATATTAACCTTAGAACACCTCTTATTGCGTCGGGGATTAAAAAGTATAAATTGAAGATAATACAATTTGCAGATACTTTTTTCTAATATGTAGAACGCGTGTAGCATTTCATGCCAGCCACGACGCGTTGTGGTAAAACATTATGAGGGCAAGACTCAGAACTTCGTGGGAAGGTTTCACATTTTTGAATATTAACATTTTTTATTGTACTGATTAACATAATAATGTTAACTATTACGTCTAATTTAAATATAAGTTTTAACGTAATACTTTCTTAGATTTACGTGAATACTTGACATTTTAAATAAAACTATGTGTGCGGTTTTTTTCGCGAATTTATTTTGATTTTTGGTTCCGGACGTTTCGAATGCTTTACAGCAATCATGGTTACGGAAGAGACTGAGGTGTTAGATGTCTCTAAGGTATTATATAGTTGTTACAGACAGCCTACCCACAAATAACAAAATGAGTTCAAAAAATTGAAAAATGGACAATAGATACAAATATACCATACCTGTGTCGTGGACGGATAAGATGTCGCTAGTAACGAACAACCAGAAATGTGGTAAGAGTTGAGTAAATGTCGAATCTGGTACCCTTCCTTCGGCCAACAGTGTCGTCCTAACTGATCTAGGGAGCGGTAGGGGTTCTCCGGACTTGGCCTTTCTAGGTTCGAAATCTATAAAAAAAATGTAAAAATAATTATATATGTAGTGTAAAATACGTACTATGAATAAATATTGTCTAATTGGAAACATGTTTCATATTTAAGTTTAATAGTACCTGTGAGACCGTGCTTCATTCGAAATTCTTTTTTGTTATATCGTATTTTTAAACAAAAAAAAAATAAAAACTTAAATAAATACAAAAAAAAACAAAAGTAAAAACTTTGTATCCGACCGGGATTCGAACCCGGACACTTGTGATTGCCGATCTTGCGCCTTGGCCGCTTGACCACGATGCTTATACCCGAGCGTGTGACATTAGCGACCATATTTTGCGTGGAATAATGCGTAAACCGCATGAAAACTCAAAAACACGCGTTTTCCCAGACAAAAGACTAATCTAGATTAATTTTTCGCCCCCGAAACCCCGCACATAAAAATTTCAGCCATTTCCGAGATCGCCGATATACACATATATAAATAAACAAATAGATAAATAAATAAATATACAAAAAATGCTTGTTTAAAAGTATTAGATTTCAACTCTCTACTCTCCAGGATAACAGAATGTTTTTTTTACCAAAATTATTTTACAAAATACGTGGAATACATAATATGCATATTATACTAATTAAGTAAATTCTAAATACGTAACGGCTAAATTGCGCCTATTAAAGTATACAAGAGAATAACTGTTAACTACATCAGACAATAGAAAAAAAATTAGCATCTCCGAAATATTTCATTTAAATATTTACCTCAAATTCATTTAATAAAAGAAGGTTTTATAAATATAATAACATCGCGCAGATAAGTATACCGGTCACTGATCGATATTAGTCATGATGCCTTGGTGGTGTGGTGGGTAGCATGTACGGCTGTACATTTGGAGGTCTTGGGGGGGACATTTGGAGGTCCTGGGTTGGGTTGGACCAAGTTTAGTTATTGAGTATTTCTATTAAGAAAGTCCTGGTAAACCCGTGCCTCGAAGAGCTCGTAAAGCCATCAAGTCCTGCGCCCTAACTCTCACTAGTTGTGTGGAATTATCGTCACACCGGATGATAATGACAGAAATAGGTAGTATACATTGTATCTACTTGTACATTATAATATCTCCTGCGCAGTTGGCTAGTATCAATAAGCTTAGCCGCTGTGGCCTGAATCGAACAGGAGGACATTATTAGTTAATGGTTATGGTAAAACAATATATGCAGCTATGGAACAGTTTGAATGCACTGCAGTTATCTATATATGTAGAAGGTATATATATATATATATATATATATATATATATATATATATATATATATATATATATATATATATATATATATATATATATACACAACTTATAAATGAATATCAATTTAGGTAGACTATACATTTTATTGCTTAAGTGAATTAACCTTTGAAGTTCCTCTTCAAATTTTTATTGTAATTGGTTTGCAATTAGTAGGACAAGCTCTTATCCAAATATCGTTTTATAAGCTATAATTGGTCTGGTATTTATCCTGTTTAATTTTATTAAAAATTGAATTTAGAGCTTGAACTGTTTTAGCTTTTAGCTTCTATTTTGTAAAAAACTGTAAAGTAGAAGATACATAAATAGATAATTGAAATAGTTGTATGATGAAATAAATGCTCATGAGTTAATATGTAGAATGCAGTCTCCTAAAAGTCCAGTTGCCTAAAAATCAGTAGCCAGAGTATTTTTAAACAACATTGCTAGTCAATTTTCCATTAAATTTATTTCTTTGATACTATTTTTAATGTGAAACACTCGGAAATCTGACATGAACATGATCTTCTTTAATCAGGCTGTCAAGTGCATGTTAAGGAACTTTTTGGTAAAATTATTACTATCTGAAGTATTTTCTTAATTATTATAAATTTAGTGATCAATAAAGAAATTTTAGGTCTATTGAAATTTGCTATGCTAAGTATTTTGTTTTCAATTGCTACTACTTCATTAATAGTAGGATACACAATGCTTTCCATATGGACTTCGATATATGTATGTATTTATAAAACTTGGAGACTTCTGCAATTTGTGCATTATGTTGTAAAACTTTTACGTTGATAATAATTAATCTGGTTCTAAATTTTAGACGTACATTTTTATTAGAGTTACAGCAGTGAGCAAGTTTCTATTCTTTTTATTTGTATTGATACTGTCGAGTGCATACAGGTACATTTAATGCGGTCTTGATATTTATAGTTTGCGTACCAAAGTCCATTGGGGTTTAAATTTATAATTATTTATATTTAAAAAGATTAACGTTCTACTGTCAAACACGGGCCCCCTCCAATATGAGGAGGATGGGGCCTTAGTCCACCACGCTGACCAAGTGCGGGTTCGCAAGCTTTACAGTCTTCTCTGAGAACTACATACTAGATTCTCCAAAGCACGCAGGTTTCCTTACGATATTTTCCTATACCGTGCGGCAAATAGTAATTATATTAAAAATGATTCACATATATCGCAAGTATTACACAAATATCAGAGGTGCAAAACCCGGTATTCATATAGAGTTTAAATTTTTGTTATTAGATAATAGGATATTTCAAACTTTTCAAGCTTATCAAGAAGTATGTAGTAAAATCCATACAAATTTTCGTCTCCTTTATTTTCATTTCTGTGCTATTTTTGAAATTTGAAAGTTGAGAGATTTACGCGGATTTTTATTGAGAGATTTTATTATTATAGGAAGGCATATTCTGATTTTTCTTAAATAAATGCATTGAAGTTATATGAGTAAGTTGGTGATCTCGTTAGAAATCTGTAAATTTTATACCTGTATGAAAGTTATTACCGTAACCATAAAAATATTTTATGAGACTATTATTAATATTATTGAATCAATGCTAAGCAAAAGTAAAAAAAATATCCATATATAAACCTGTATCATAATCTGCAGGTAGTAATCTTAAATTGGGCGTGTGAGCCGCTCCTCTGCTGGGATACTTAAGATTATAGCAGGAACCATCAAATCTTCTCCCTTCATATGGATTGCATGGTATGATTTCATTGATACACCAACTGGTAAAAAAATATACTGTTTTAGTACCTATAAAAGTTATAAGCTTAGCATGATTTCTGATTATAGTTCAATTGTTAAAAGGACTTCAAAAATTAAAGCTTTTAGGTTGATATCAAATTTTTACAACAACTCTTAGAGTTCTGTTACTAAAAGGCAACCACGGCAATTATAAATTTCTATATACATATTCGTCTGTCCGTCTGTTTCGTGGTCACAGCCATTTTCCTCTGTCTAAAGGTCATAGACTTTGTAGTGCATAACTGATGGTATAAAATTATGAAAAATAAAAATATAGGGGTGGTATACATATATGGAATGAAACTGTGAAAAAAAAATGTGACAAAAATATTTAATATACATAAGCATGCAGATATATTATATATTTGAAATGATGATAACTGTTTTTCAATATTTTTTGACTTTTTGTTTGTCTTCAAATTTAGAAGTGGTTAGTAGCTACGACCGTATGACATTTTTTGTTCCACAATAACTTTAGTCCTTATAGTATTATTGAGAAATACTATTTTTTTTCTAGTTTTAACATTACAAATTATGTAAGTTAAAACATAATACAAAAATATTTAATCAACAAAATCCTCGTCGCACGAGTCAGGCTTGTACTTGATTATTTTTTAATTATAGAAGAATTTTACCGTTATTTAAATTTTACTTACAATGTTGTATTCTTTTTAATATGTCCCTTTACTTCTTCATTAGTTAATCGTTTTCCCGAAAACGACTCATAAAATTCTGTTTCTGTTACCACACTCTTTATAAAAAATAACAAAAATATATAAAACATGATATTCTATTTTTTTTCCTCTTTAAAAAAAATGCTGCGACTTCTGCTACAACTGGAGAGTAAGCTTGTACTAATACAAAAGACGTTTTAACTTTTCTTTTAATATATACCAGTACGGTTATATATAAGGCTTGTTACAGACGTAACGCCGGTCGTATGGTTACAATTTAAAACTTTGCGAATACGACCAATCTAGATAACGATAAAGTAATTTAAATCAACTCACCTGCAGATCAAGCCAGGAAGTGGAAAATACAACTCCTCAATGGCTTCAACCAGAAGTCTTGAGTTTCGGTAAATCTCCAAGTTTCAATAAAACTTTGGGACGTTTGTTTCTTATTGACACGCCCCCCCATACGTATAATGCGTAAAGTAGGTGTACCGCATAATATTCATTATTATCATGTTAGTTCATTTTTTTATAGACAAGAAGTATATATATATATATATATATATATATATATATATATATATATAGCAAATATTTAAAAAAAAAAAATATATATATTATTGTCTATATAGCAAAAAAATCTGTGCCTACGAAAATGGAATACACGATAAAATATAGTAATATTAATACAGGTTATTAATTGTTTTAGTAGTCTAGCACAGAGTAAATAAAAATAAATATATATGCATTTTATATAAGTCTGCAGGAAAAAGCTTATTTTTTTATAAAAATAAATACCCTAGTCACCTAGAGCGCAAAACGGGCAATATTGGAGAATTAAAAAACAAGATTTTCATTGTAACTTTCCTGTAAATTATCATATAAGTTTTTTTTTTTTGTGATTAGGACACAGACTTTATGTACCAAATTTAAAGTATTTTCGTATAGTAAAGCGAAAATCTTATCTTGAGACAAGGCAGAAGTAGATAAATCTGTATGGTTTTTTTTTATTTATCGTATTTTTTTTAAATTTATGTACTTATTTATCTGTATCAATTTCAAACTCGATGTGAAACAGCTTTATTTTATATTTTAACATTAGTGATCCATAATATCTGTCTTACAAAACCAATTATATTATAATTTATGGGGCGAAATAAATCAAAAACTTAAAGGAAAAAAAACAAAGTATTGCGTCAGTTATAATTCTTTTTGTTTTCGAGTAATGTTTTAACAGAACTTTATCTCGTTACATCTCTAATTTAAATATTTAAAAAATACAAAAACTACGTTAACCTTTATACTCGTAGTTGTAGTTAAATAATTCAACAGGATATTTGGCATGTAAAAAAAGACAAACGGAAATAAGTTCAGTGATTTATTCGCAATATTAATTATTTTTATTACATATTTAAATAAATAGTAAATAATCTAAACAAATAATAATAGTTATAGGCTATAATTGTTATCGGGTAATTGGTTATCACAGGTCTGGTCTCTCCATGCCCATAAATTTATTTTCTGTATTTTATCACAGCTTTGCATTTCATTCCTAAAAATAAAAATTAATAAGTAAAAAGTTTATAATATAAGTTCGCTTACATTTAAAGGTATATTTTGTGGGATAGGATGATGGGATACATTTTTTTTATTTAAAGCAAATCTTACCCTGGCCCAGGCATAAAGAAAGCATGTGGTTGTATGGTTGTCACTTTATCAGCTACAGCACACATGATCTGCGCAATTGACGCCTTCCTTACTTCCAAAAGTTGTTCTATAACATAATATATTGTAAGTAAAAATATAAGGAAACTCTGAAAATTATTTTTCTTTTTAATAAAAAATAACTTGCCTAAAGTAAACGCGTTGGGTCGGTTAGGTCTTTCATACCAATGTCTGTCTGTGACTATATTCCTGTACATTTGGTCTACGACGACACAGTAGAGGGTAGAAGGGACATAGCCCCCTTTAATTAGCCTTTCTGACCATATACCCGCCATTAAGTCGATATCTTCTATATGCTTGTATTTTTCTTTAAGCAATTGAATTCTCTACAGGACAAATTAGAGAAAGTAGGTTAAAGACGTGCAAACAATAAAATTACAAATATGCTCCACTTGCATTAAACCTACAATATAAAACGAAATTATAAAAAAAAAAATTTTTTTGGCAATTCATTTTAACATACAAAAATCAAGAACAATGATATGTTACAACTTTTGTGTCAAGATTACATGGTTATGGCTTATTGGAATGATGGTATTCAGCCATTTTATCATCCTACTACTGGGTACCAGCCTTCCTTCAATACGAGGAGTACACGATGGCCAAGTGCGGGTTGGCGGACTTCACAAGTCTTACGGAAACTAGCTAAGTTCTCTCGGACATGAAGGTTTCCTCCCTATGTTTTCCTTCACCGTAAGGCAAGTGGTAATTATGTTGAAAATGATTCGTACATGATAATAATGAGATGCGAGACCCGGTATTCGAACCCACTTCACTTGATTTCCAAAGCATGTGCGTAACCATTGGGCTACCATTGCTACTGCTTGTTGGAATAGGAAAAACGTAATTAAATTGCGTCACTAGCCTCACTTTATGTGAAACCATAAAAAAATTATACTACATACTAAAATTTAATTTATTACATTCAATTCAAAAAAAATGGTAATTTTATTACTAGTGTATATATTAAAAAATATGTTTTAGAATTACTAAAAAATAATTCAGTAGCTACGTGGGCAAGCTGGCAGGCATCAAGGCCACTTATGTGGGCACGACATTAAGGGGAATTCTTATTTGATTAAATCTCTCCTTTACAAGATGTTTATTAAGAAAAAAATATGATCGATATTAAAAATGTTAAACACATACCTCAGAATCAATAACATCACTTAAGTCATCAAACGTGCGATACGTCTTGCCGGAGCAAAGCTTTCTGTATTGAACGTATGGAGCGAAACCAAAGTAACGATTTTTTGTCAGATCACTGGTTAAAACATCAGAGGCTGTCTGATGAGGACCTATAGTAAATTCCCCTACCTAAAAAGTAAGTTATTTTAATAAAACTGGTTTTATAGATATTTGGGCTCTCAAATATCTCTGCAGTTTTCCTTACTACACTTCCTTGACTGTAAGGCAAGTGGTAGTGATTTAAAAAAAAAAACGTAAGAAGTTATACTTCTTTGGCGTAACAGAACAAAAATAGCTAAAGATTTCGCTCAGTATGTCACAACTTTCTGTTTGTAAAAGAAATGCAGCTAACTACATCATGTCGCTTTTTGGCAGTCGGTGTACGCGCACATTGAAAAAATTTTACCCCCATAATTTTTTCCAAACGTGCCAATAGACACGTTACGACTAGGCTACCACTGCCTTAATTATTCACTAAAATAGTATTTTTGGTCTAAAATGTTTGTTTACTACTTATTTACGCTGTATTAGCTTAAAGGTTTCGCGATTGAGATAGTTTATATTTCAATTTACCACAATTTTCATTGACGGTTGGTAGGTTACCAAGCGCCCGAAGAGGACAATAGATTACAAACAATTTGTAGTGCTTTGCATATTTTATTTTTATTTCTTTTAGTATTGTACTTTCGTGGTCCCATTTTAATATAAAATTAATATATAAGAAACAATAAAAATTAATATTAAAGTTAAAAAAATAAACTTTTATTTTTAACTTATTGAATTTTCTCAACATTTAACAAAGAAATATTAGGCATAGCCGCCATTGTATAGATAGCATTAAGACGTACTAAACAGGAAAGAGTGAGAAGAGAGAGATACCTAAGCTAAACGCATATACTTACATCTGGATCAATAACATAGTCAAATTTAGCAGAAGGCTGCCTGAAGACTCCGTGGGTAATATACTCCAAATTTTCATCTAAGTAACCAGTTCTTAGTGTCAAATTAACTATTTTAGTCTCTTTTAAATAAATGCCATTTTCGTCATACATTCTAAAAGAACACATACAAAATAACACATAAAATGAATACAAAACACATGAGATATGGGCATGTTATGTAATATTTTAATCTGGCCGTATTCGAAGCCATAAATGATAGCAACGACTTAGAGGGACTAAGGTATGGTACTTTGGTACTACGTCCCATGAACTACGGTAATAAGCTCAATTTATACCTTCTAATATACGAGTAAAACAAAGCAAGCAGATATTTTGATGGTTTTTGTTTGATGAGTGGCGCTGCTGGTAAAGGACAATAGGCAGTTTCGTCCATAGAGTGTATCAAGTTGTTGTATTATACGCCTAGTTCTTTCCCTGCACGTGTTTCTTTGCTGGTATCATACAATAAAATGAAGCTTTTATTATGATTTTAAGATGACATTTATGACAACTTCATACACTCTGGGAACGGTACCCATACAAAGTTGCCCATTCACGTTTAGTTGTTTTATAAATGTTATTAAAACTTACTTTAAATTTCCTTCTTGAATGGTGTGAGCCCACCGCAAAACATATGGAAACTCGAGTGTGATTTGTGGTATTGAATTATTATCGTATAAATCTCTGAATTCTTTCTTTGGCGAGAGGACACCAGCTTTGATCAAATTATCATAGCCTATGCAGAAAAATGCTTAAGTTATTACGTGATTATCTTAATTACCTAATTATTATCTCACAACGTTTAAATTTGATTATTTTATATATAATGTGAATATTTAAATTTATAAACAATATATATTTGTAAAGAAACTTCCCAGTTCATTTATTTCAACAACTATCAACTTTTCTTTGAACAGGCATCTGAGAAAACGCAGTGATATAATATTTAAATAATACACGATATCCCTAATCTACTAAATGTATTTTTTTCTAATATTTCTTGTACATTTTTTTTAAGTGAAATAAAAAAAAAATATTTTGATATAATGTAATGAGAAAGATTTTAAATTTTGTTTGTACTATAAGTCCAATTATAAATAATTATTTTTTATTTCACCGCCTATTTATTAAGGAAAATTATAGCATACTTATACATCCCATCCCATAATCCCATAAATATTATAAATTTTGGATGAATGTTTGTTACGCCAGAACTGCCGAACGGATTTGGATGAAATTTGGCACAGAGATAGATTATAGTCTGTAATAGCACATAGGTTACTTTATCCCTGAATAATGTACCTATGGTTGCCATCGGATAGATTCGTTTTTGTTTTTACTAGAGATGAACCCGAGTGAAGCTTGGGTGAATTGCTAGTAGGATTAAAAAAATAAGTCGTGCTACGACGCTTAGAAACAAAGATACATATATAAACTATGCGGGTGGAGCTACGGGCAAATGTAGTATTTTGATTACCTTATTTTAACAAATTTCTAGGATGACACATTATTCATGAAAGTTTTTTATTACAATTTCTACTAAACTAGACGAGAAAGGAAAATTATTTTGCAAAAAATCTCACCCATCAAGGCTGGTGATAGTTCATAATAATAAATCTGCATAATAATAGCTATCACAATTTCCCTCGCCGTGAAGAAAAGTTTGTCGTCGTTCCAGCAGGGATTTACTTCTGCTAGTCCAGTGGCTACACGATTGTGCAAACGCCATGACCAAATAGTAAACAAATTTATGCCTAAAACACTGTTACCGCCGCTTTCCGCTGCAAAAATGCACATAATAAAGAATTTTTAAAAAGACATGGCAATAATAAAAAGGAAAAAAAAACTTAAAATACTTATATAAATACTGTTATTTTTTAATAATTGCGGGAATTACAAACTATAATTTATTTTTACTCACGTAAATCATGGCATCGAGTTTCTTGGGGTAACTGATTTAAGAAGCATACATGGTCTTTACCCTTCACGCTGGGTGGCCAAATTTTTCCATTAGCTACTTCAATCTTTAACAGACCTTTCTCGAGTTGTCTACTCTTTGCATTTAGTGTCTTTAATGATGTTCCATATAAATGTGACAAGTCAAATAATGGAGTCGCTGTTGTAATCTGTAGTAGAAAGAAATATGTATATTATTTTAATCACACCCCTGTTTTTCTATTTTTATTTAGGGACAGAAATAAATGTCAGTCCCATTGTTTCTATAAAACATTTATACTGCTAATAAACTAATTAAAACTTATAATTTTACTTATTTTAACTTAAATTGATATATCGTTTTGGCTACCTCTGAGTCAGGTATATACAGTGTTGCATTTCCCAACGTTAAAAAAAAAAAGGTATAGACAGTGTCAGGGGTGTTGTAGTGTGTGCGCAAGCGATCCTGCAACGCCCCATTGCACTGCGGCGAACGGTTCCGCTGTAGGTTTTAGTGAGTAGGAGTCTAACAGTACCTTGCCCGTTACGACGGCGGGCAGGGTCCCCATGATGGATTTCCACAGCGACAACAAAACATAAGAATATATATCATTTGCTAAAAGTGTCGTTTAGACCCGTAACGTCTGAAATGAATTTTAAATAAATATCTATTTTCAGATTTTATTTTAATTTTTGTTCCTTAACCCTAGTCTTTTCAATAAGATTTTCAATCAGAGATGTTAGTTTTATTTAAAACTAGGTTAGATTGCCTCCCCATACAATCTTTATACCCATTTTTACCTCCTTAAGGTATGATTTCCGAGATAAAAACTATCCTATATCCCAAGGTCTTAAACTATCTTCTTGCCAAATTTCATCTAAATCAGTTAAGTAGTTTCGGAGCTTATTCGGTACAAATAAACAACAAAAAATATTCCCTGTTTATAATATTAGTATAGATGTAAATCTAAAAAGTATTTAGGAATAAAGACAACATCAAGTCATTAAAACAACATAGTACGCTACTTACTCTCTCAGGCGACGTATCATTCTTCAAACACCCTCTCGATTGAAAACTCTCTGGTCTTGTCAAATTGAAACATCTTATAGAAGAAAATCTGTGTACCGGATCATCATCAGGTATCTTAATTGGAGTGCATTTTTTATCAGTTTTTCCCTTCTCTTCACAACAGTAAGGTGTCCATTTGATATAATTTACTAAAAACACGTATTTTAATAAAAAAAACTTTATTACACTATGTACTATACATTAACTTAAATGAAAAAAATTGTATGTGTGTGTGAACACGTAGGAAGGGACCAGATAGGAAGGGCAACTAGGGATGCACCCAAGTGAAGTAAGAGTAAATCGATAGGTTAATACATATATTATAATCTAATATATAAAATTCTCGATTGTAAAAAAATTATAACAAAACACGTCTAAAAACGGCTTGACCGATTCTTATGAAATTTTGTGTGTATATTCAGTAAATCTGAGAATAGGACGTAAAGATAAGGGTGGTCCACCCCAAAAAAATATTTTTATTTTTTGGACATTTTTTTTATGATTCGGCATTAAAAATACAAACAAACCTAAATTTTCACTAGGGACGAATCCGAGCGGAGCTAGGGTGAGTCGCTAGTAAACATATACATATACTTTCTGGCCCATACATTACTCTATGTGAAATGGCGTCGATCCGTTACTGCATGAAAGCATTATAAACGAACAAACACATTTTCGCATATATCGTATACTGTATAGTAAGCATTATCTAGTGATTTGCTTCGCTTGGGTTGTTAGGCATCGTAGGGAACACCCTACGATACCTAACATAGTCTATCTGTGTATTAAACTATCAAGACGTTTCAGCGTGAAGGAGTAACAAATATAAATAAATATAAATATGTTGGGACACTACGAGGCTTGTGTTATGGATACCAGATAGTTGATACACTACACATTTATAACTTTAAGTACATATACAATAAACAACAATAAACACATGGCTGGAGTACAAACATTCGTGCTCATCACACAAATGAATGCCCCCAGCTGGATACGAACCCGCGAAAGCAGGGTGACTACAAACTGAGCCAAACGTATCGTCAAACACACAAACATTCTCAATTATAACAGTAGAAGATAATTAATTCCGTGTAAGCTTAAAATGACATAAATATATAAATCAAAATGAAATATTATGGTAATAAACACTTCTTTAATTGCACAAAGCTAGTGTTACATTACTTAGTTATTACAACATTTTTTTTTATTCAGGGACTTATTTTGAATATATAATCTTTTTAGTTTTTTTTTATTTCCTCGTGAGTATAGTATCATATTTGTATTATATATAGTATTTTTGAAATGGTATTCATAAAATGTTTTTTTTTATTAACCGACTTTGGTGAACCCGAAGAGAGGGTTATGTGTCTGACCTATATGTAAATTGTACAATGTACATATGTATGTAGTATGTATGTCCGATCCTATGTTCCTGCGTAATTACTAAACGAATTATCCGATTTTGATTATTTTAGTAGATTTGCATCAAATTCGAATTTAAAATATTTTATCCAGCATTAAATTATTACAATTTTTTACTGAACGTCATGAGTCTCCTACCAGTTCGGAAAGAAGAATACTCAGACGTTCAATAACGGGTGTGCTATAAGTATAGGCTATACCTATTAATATTTATTAAAAATCAAAATGGCTGATTTCAGGATTTCATATCGGTTTTTAAGAGGCGACAGAAATATATACAACTTATATATTTTAAAGTAATTTGGGAAAAGATTTTTTTAAGTTACAGATTTTTTTATTTTATTCTTACTGGTTTACATTTTTGACAGTATGAATGAATATTATAAATGAATTTTAAATTATAAAATAATTAACAAACAATTAACAGGAACTTTGAAGGAAAACATCGTGAGGGTTTCCTCATGCCTGCATGTCTGAGAGAATTTGGTAAGTTTTCGAAAGACATGTGAAGTCCGCCAACCCGCATTCGGCCAGTGTGGTGAACTATGACCTGATCCCCCTCGTATTGAAGGAAGGCCCGTGCCCTGCAGTGGGACGTTTAAAAGGGCTGACATATTAGAATTTTACATACCTGTATCATGGACGGATACGACATCAGCAGATATAAATACCCAAAAATGCGTTAAAAGTTGAGTGAACGTCGAACTTGATATTCTTCCCTCTGCCAAAACAGTTGTTCTAACTGATCTAGCAAGGGGAAGTGGATCTCCAGATTTTGCTTTCCTAGGCTCAAAATCTGTAAATATTTTATTTGTGTTGAAACAGCTACTATTTCAATTTGCTTTAAATTGGAGAAATTGCTTATTATTGTTTATAATTATTATGTAAGATACCAGTAATATTCATTGATACACAAAAATTCAAGATACACAAAGCGTCTCAAAAATATCCTCAAAAAGAAGCCCACAATTTGAAATTGTGCAATTTCTTCAAATCTCTTTTGTTCGTGGCATTTCGGATGACAATTAAAACGCACGTTGTTTTGTTTAAAAAAGTACTTTGTATTACTTTCGATTTTTGAATTTTATTCTTTGGTTTGACTTAATGTCACATTTCAACGCCACTTTTTAAATAAATATTCGTTAGGAAATGTGTATTTAGATTTTTGTATATCCACGATAATATTACAACTTTCTGCATATTTATAAATATTTTGTTATAGAAGGCGATAGTTAAATACAATAGCACTTGTCATAAATGCTTTCATTGTAAATACAAAACTATAGCAACCTTTATCGTATTCTGCTGGTAGTAACCTCAACGTTGGTGTATGAGCCGCTCCTCTGGTGGGATGTTTGATATTGATGCAAGAGCCATCCAATTTTCTCCCCTCTAAAGGATCGCATGGCTCGATTTCATTGATGCACCAGCTGTTAGTAATTATGTTATTATAATAATTGACTTTTATCTCTCAAACGATGAAGGTCGCGGATTCAAGTATATTATGAATATTTTATAATAACCAAGTATACTTAGGAAAATTTTAATACTTTTTTTAGATTTCAGACGAATATTTGACATTTTAAATAAAACTATATTTTCGGATTTTTCGCGGATTTATTTTGATTTTTGGTTACCGACGTTTCGAATGCTTTACAGCAATCATGGTCACGGGAGAGACTAAAGTTTTAGACGTCTCAAACGTATTACATAATATATAGTTGTTACAGACAGCCTACCCACAAAATAACAAAATTTGAATTTGAATTGACTGGGTACTACCATCATCGTTCGACCCTGTAGTTAGTTCATACTGTGTGGATCGAAATAACAGTAATTCAGATTAATATTTTTTATGTATAAAGATAGCAATAGTGTTGCTTAATATTTTAACTTCAAATAATGGGAATCTAAAGATGTATATTTTTTTAAATTACATATATTGTATAAAACAATAATATTGCTTAAATAATTATTATTTTTAATTTTCTTTATGGTTATATAGGGCATATCATATTTTTATTTAATATGAAAATCTTATTAAAATATATACTTAAATTACTATAACTAATATCTATCTGACAATTTGAATAAATTAAGTGAATACTTATAACTCAAGATTCACTGGTCTAATTTACGTGATTTTTTTACCATGCTTTTGTTAACATCCCTTGTATCAAAATAAATCGGACCCATTTGGAAGTATTTTTTTTATTTGTAAAACTATAATTAGAATTACTATATAGTTTCAATTCGTACCCTAATTTGATAGCAGTAGCAGGTATTAGATATTTGGGAATTTGACGCAAAATAATGCAGGAGTCCCGCATAACTACCTGTAGCTATGTATACAGGTGGTTTGAGTAGATGTATTTTCCAACATAAAAAAAGGACTAAAATACCTTAATTACACCTACTTTGAAACTAACAGAAGCGAAGAAGAATTTCTAGTACATCACGACATGCACGAAAAAAACAATATTTTCGAGGTTCGAGGATATGTATTTCCATATCTTCTAAATATCCAATAATTAGACAATTTCAGTTATTCTAAACTTACTATTTGTTTCTGACGTTTGAAATGGTTTGCAACAATCATAGTTGCGGGATTGTGTCTCTCCACAAGAAAAAAACAGTTTTATTCATAATATCTAAGTAATTGTGTAAATCTAAGAAATTTTACTTTGGGAATGTTTGGATTAAGTATTAGGATTTTTGAATATATTATCACTTACAATGATGTATTCTGCTTTATATGCGCTTTCACCTCGTCGTTAGTTAACTCCTTGCCAGTATACGACTCATAGAATACCGTTTCCGCAAAAACACTTGTTAAACAACATAAAACGAAAATATAAAACATTCTTAACACCTTCAGGTAAATTTCTAAGAAATTAATTAAATTTCTAAGAAATCTATTGTTAACTGACACGCCGGCGTGTCCGCGGTCATTGAGGGATTATCAGTTATTACAGTTACTATGACTTCTGTGTTAGTTATGGAATAAGCAATTACTAACAACAAGTTGTCAATCGTTCCAATATAAAGCAAGGAAAGCCGACGACCAAGGTCCTTATCTACAAGGCTTCGTCCATACTTTAGGTCACATTTTTTTCTTTTAAAAGATAATAGATAGAAATATTTTTTAATAGTTTCTTCTATTAAAAGATATTTTTTTATTAGAATTGGATGTATACAATATATTAATTATAATAATATTATTTTAAATAGTTTTTTTTATATATATATACGAGTATTTTTTCTTGATATGGAATCATTTTTTTTTTATCGGAGAGTATTAAGCATAATTATATGAACATGTATAATTATTATAATAGAATGAATTATATAAAACAAAACTAATATTCATAAACTAGCGACTCACCACTGCCAGCCGCCGCATAGGAAATCAAATATATTTTGATACGTAAAATACATATTTACCTATTAGATATTCATATCTTAAAATATTGTTTGCTGGCACCGACTTCGAAACTATCTGATTCGGTATCTATTCTAAATGAGAACCCCCGTTTATTTATTTTTTACATTTTAGTGCCTGGAAGTGGTTTTTTTTAAAGTGTTTATTTTTATATTTTTATTGAAGACGTAATAAGCAGGTAATTCGTAGGAAGAAAGTTTTTAATAACATATACGATTAAACAATTTGTTTAAAAAATATATTTATTGTTTATCTTTTTAAAAACTGCTCGACCGATTTCGATAAAATTTATATGGGACCACCTGGGAAGTATATGCTTTGAAACAAAAAAAACCAAATCGGTTTAGGCATCATCGAGTAATCGGTGAACATACATAAAAAAGATTCTGACGAATTGAGAACCTCCTCGTTTTTGGAAGTCGGTTAAAAAGGTGTTAAAATATAATATAAATCTCCCATAACCGGACACATAAAGCCAGCTCATTCATTGAACAATAAGCCCGATAGGAAATTCGCCAGACGAAGAATGTACAAATTCAGTGTAAATCAGATAACACTTTGGCTTGGAATCTAATAGAGATATGATACAGACTTGCGTTTAAAACGCAGCGTTTTTATGATATATTCACTATTGAACCTAAGTTGCTCATCTTTTATTTGTAATAAAATCATACCTTATAAAAATGCTTTTTGACTAAAAAGACATTAGCGTGTTATGAAATCTTTTTTTTTTTAATTTATGTGGCACTTTAGAAATATACCTGCCCATTTATTGAAGATGTTGCATAATACCTATATGAAAAAAAAAACATTACCCGATTAACCGTAATATTGCATTATCGTAAAAAATGTTTTTAAAAAAATTAAAAAAATATAAAATTTGAATTTTAGGAACACACAGACATTGAAATTGAAACAAACTAAATACTAAAACAAAAAGTTAAAAATATTTCAATTCCTACAAATCGCCCGTCTGCTTGACGATACGAGTGTCGCATATCAAGCGAAATATTGAGTCAACGCACGCGTCCAGGAATTCTGATCGTTTCGATGGATTCATTGATGTACTTGTCATTCGGAAATTGTAACCAAATAAAAGATAATAAATAATATTTGTTAAGATCTTTATCTTTACAAACAAAAAATTATCACAATACACGAAAGTAAATAAATACGAAAGTTTGTATGATACTCTTTCACGCTGAAATGGATGGACTGATTTGGATGAAATTTTGTGCAGAGATAGACTTTAATCTGGAGTAACATTAGCTACTATTACTAGTTATAAAGTTTTCCAAAAGGTGGCACTAACTGTACATAATATTATAAATACAAAAGGCCTACCTAGAAATGCACCGGAGTGAAGGGGGTAAGTCACTTAGTTTATGCTACATAGTTATTTGTAGACAGGCCTATAATTAATTAAAAATTATATAATTCTCTTAAAAATATATATTTTATTCAAAAATCTGTCAAAATTACCTATATACCCTACGTCATATATAGTGTAGAATTTCTTAAAATTAAATGGGTTATATTTAGAATCTTACAAAGTCTGGGAGGACGTCTCCTTACTACTCGTATATATATATATATATATATATATATATATATATATATATATATATAATAGAAAAATTATTTTCTGAACATTTTGATATAGTACGATAGATGAAAATGACTACACGCATGCAGGCAAAGACGCGGGAAACAACTAGTGTATAATAAATCGTCCTCATATTTATCCCTCACCTAAATTTTTTTTCACAGAAAATCATAACAATGATTCTAGCAATTATCATTAATGTTTGTTATTCGAAGGTGACATTAATTACGTAAGTAATTTGTTTTTAAACATCATACCTAATTGAATATTATATCAGGAAAATTTTAATTAAAAATGGCTATTATACCTACATAATACTTTCTTAGATTTACGCGAATATTTGACATCTGTATATATATATATATATATATATATATATATATATATATATATATAATATAATTCTAACCAATCCGAATCTGTACATTAAATATTTTTTGGAAAATCTTATTGAAACAGACATTATTATCGATACAAAGGCCGAATTTATAAATTTTAGAAATTTTGTCTGTCTGTCTGTTACCGCATCACGGAAAAACCACTGGAGGGATTTTGATGAAATTTGGTATGATGATAGCCGGTTATCCGGGTTGAAATATAGGATACTTTTATGCGGGAAAATATCTCATAGCTGAGAAATCATAATAACAAATAATTTTTACTTTTTTAAAGCTATATCGGACGATATACTGCAACTGGCATCCAGTGTCCGACGCACAAACCAAATATTATTATAATATGTATGTATGAATATATCACGCCATTGATAACTTTTCACTCTTACTGCATGAAACAAAGTAAAAAAGAAACGATTTTTGACTGACTTAAAAAAGAAAGAGGTACTTCATTTGTCTTCATTTTTTGCATGGGTTATATTGTTATATCTTCGCCAATTGGATCGATTTTTATAAATCTATTGTTTATAAATAGGTGTATTATATATGTAAGTATGATGAGGCATGGCTGAAATTCTTTCAGATTCCTGATATATGTATGTGGACGTAAACACACAACTTTCGGGGAGCGCGGCAGTGCCCCCGCCAAGTCGAGTACCATTTAAAAATCGAAAGAAAATATGTCATTTTTCACACAAAACTTATTTAACAACTCAACTTGAATCAATCAAATATCAATAGCAGATCTGATATAACTTTATATTATAAACAAATATGTATAGCTTAAGTATAATAAAATTTTACAATTTATACAAAAATTGTATATTATTATATAGGTTCATGTCAGCAATAAATCTTTTTATGACCATGATATTTAGTTAAATATTCGCTTATCTTGATTTTTGGTAACATTATAATTTAACAACATTACAAAACCCATTGCGATTAACTCAAATTCATTTTACATTCAAATTCATGTTAAGAATTATGATTATAAGAATCTACCAAAAAATTACTTCAAATAATTATAAAGTGTAATTCAGATATAACATCCGTATGTTTTTGATCTGTTAGTATGGAATAGATAGTCGATGATGACGATGCTCTGTAAAAAAAACAAATCTGTCCAACGGGAACCGTACATTTTTCCGGGATAAAAAGTAACCTATGTGCTATTCCAGACTACAATCTATCTCTGTGCCTTTCATCAACATCCTTTCAGCAACACCATCTGGTATTATTGAGTAACAAACATCCATCCATCTAAACTTTCGGATTTATAATTTTAATAATGAAATTTTACTCATATAGACTTTTATACTTAATTCTTCCTTAAATTACCTACTTACATATAAGGGGCCTTTCACGCTTTACTACTCGTGCGTACGTACATATTTACGCGTGTTAATTACCGACCGGCCGCTGGACCATAACAGCCCATATAATTATAGGACTGTCGACAAACGCGTTACTATTGTTTTCGTTCAGCTGTGATTATTATTATTTGAAAAATAATTTCGTGTACATTTTGATTTCTGACCTATTTTGCTTCTGTATTATGTATACTTATTGTTTTAACGTTTAACCTCATTGTTGTTTGGATTTTTGTTTTTATACTAGTTGTCACCCGCGGCTTTACTCGCATGAGACAACCACAACAAGATATCGCGTATATATTTATTATAATTTCACTTAAATCTGTTGAGCCATTGTACCGTTAAGTAGTAACAAACACATAGATTCAGATATTTATTCAATTAGAGTAGTTTAATTATAACAATACACGAAAGATAAAAAAATCTGAATAATAGGTTCATTTTTAAGTTTACCAAAGTGATGAAATTATTGAAGAGTTGATCATTAATAATTTTTTTTCTTTGTAACAATATTAAAATATTATAACATTTATTCCATCTAAAATCAAAGAAAGTACATAAGACAAAAAATCTTTATATAAGCCAATATTAATAAAAAAATATTCATAAAGAAATTAAAAAAAAAACTTTATTTCATTAAAAAAACGATTTTTGTTATTATAAAGCTTAAATATTTTAATGACATGTATTATCCAATTATCAAAATGCAAATATCTTTGTTATGATATCTCCGTAAGTATATTTTAGAAACTGCAGTTGCGATGCAATGGTAGTTTTATGCTTGAACATTTAGGTCTATTTCCGCTTACAGAGGCCATCAGTAGGAAGGAGTAGGTTATACATAATATACAGTAGGCAACAAAGATTTTATAGATAGAATATCATCAGTAATGAAGTACGTAATAATTTCCTCCAGACCGATTACGGCCACTCCGGCTCAACGAGATTGGCCACCCAATCTCATTGAGACTAGCCAACTGCGCAGGAGATATTATAGTGCACAAGTGTACGCGCAGACACAAGTGCACTCTCTATTCCTGTCACTCTCATACTCCGGTGGAACGACCACTCGACACGACCAGTGAGAGTTAAGGCACAAGACAGACGGCTTTGTGTCTATGTTCTCCGAGGCAAACGGGTGAAACACCGCCAACTTCCCAACTCCGGACTGTTACTGGGATTTCCTTAATAGGAAGACTCAATAACTAAACTTGGCCCGACTTGGGACGCGAACTCAGGATCTGCGGATATGCAGTTGCATATTCTAGCCACTACACCAACGATACAGAAGGTATTGAAGTATGTACAATTTAAATATATCATATTATAATCTGTGCATATCGCAAATAAGTCCTATTGAAATAATTAAAAACCACTAGTTCAGATATTTTTATTGCTAGAATTCATAAGCAAAAATCCTTAAGCCAACTGATTGTATGTATGTGTAGAAAAAAATTAATTTACATCTTTGAACCCATAATAATTTTATACTATAACGTATGAATAAGTAAAGGCGAGTGTCGACTATTATTCTTAAAACAACACATGCACGCGCCTTCATTAGAAACAGCTGCGGGTGTGTTAAAATATAGGGTGCGAATGATTTTTTGTTTAAAATATTTCATTAAGGATGAGTATACATGACCTATAGCCATATTATTACTAAATATGGTTAAGTGGCTCTGTCAGTGGGTTTGTTTATGAAGATTTTAGTGCGATTCGGTAAGTTTAATCGGATAGCGGTAAAGTTTAGTACCTATAATATCAAATAGTTGTTTTTTAAATTATAAAATATTAATTAAAAAAACCGTGTGTGTACGCACGTAAGAAGTTATACTTCTTTAGCATAATAGAACAAAAATAGCTGAAGATTTCATCCCGTATGTCACAACTCTCTGTTTGTAAAAGGAATGATAAATTAATAAATAATAATAAATATTAAATAAGGCATATTAGGCATTTTACAATCATATATTTATAGAATATCATTAAAGGAAAGAATATAATATGCTATATCATTTGTCAGACAATAACAATGGTTACCATGGTAACAAACAGTTTTCAGCTAACTTCATCATGTCGCTTTTTGGCTGTCGGTGTGCGCGCGCATCGTCATAATTTTACTCTCATAATTTTTCCAAACGTATCAAAAGAAGTATTACTTCAATAAATATTATCATATACATATTTTGTTACCAACTTTTAAATTACAAGCTAAGCATATACGTCGGGTTACGGTCGAAAGCTATCTTATAAGGCTATGACTCAGAGAATATAAACTAGTGATGAAACGGATAGTCTTTCGCCGGATACTGGCCAGATATCCAGCGAGCTGTAATGCCGGATAGCCGGATATCCGACGGCCGGATATTAAGCTGGTTGTCACGTTGCA